AATTCAAGCCTTAGGTCATTTCCCAAAAGGTCCGTTACACAGTAACCAGTTACTACTGTCCATTAGGATTAGTTTGTAAGTCATTGGCAGTGTCATATCAAAAGCTTATTTAAAGTTATCATTTTGAAAAAATTTTAACACAAGGAGACCCTCAATAAAGAATGGCTTTGCCAACAGCACGAAGCAAGCTGAGACAGAAAATACACACAGCAGTAGCATGAATTACATCTTTTATAATGGCCACTTCATTTTTGCTCTTCCTCCTGCCTGCCTTATGTTTCTGTCTCTGGGGGACTGAGAGGGAGGGGAGGGGAAGAGAAGTTTACACCACAAAAAAATGGGGGGAAAAAAGCTTAGAACCCTGATCTCTCCTCTTCCAATTTGAGCATTCATTCTAGTTTTCTGCTTCTCTATTTTTGTAGATTTCAGTTCAGCTATTACTTGCTTGAATTATAAGCAACTTGGCTCCATACTGAAGTAACGGTGTCCACAAAATGCATAGTAAAACATTGCACGGTACATATGGAGAGAATTTTCTTATTTTTTATCCTGGGCTTGGATGGTTACTTTTCTGTTTCTTGCAGGTGCACTGATCACAAAATTCCATCAGTTTTTCTTCCTTCTTGAATTGTTTCCTGTTGGACCACAACCTGCTCCAACCTGATAATCCGACAGCTAATTGTTGATTTTTACTTGGCAGAAGTGTGATCAATGCAACTGCAAGGAAGAGGAGAAAAATTATAAGCCGAGAAACAAAAAAGGTTAAAAAAAAATCATAAGTGCCCTTTCAGATGAGGGAGATCAGATGCATATAGAAAGAAATTTACTGGGTGTACATGTTATCAGAAATTATCATTCAACATTAGTGCCAATTTTAAAAAGTTAACTCTACGGAAAGCTACCAACGTCCAGAAGAAGTTGCACCAGGGAGTCTCTAATATAAACAATGCAGGAGGGTGATAACTGTTTAACTAAAGGGAAAAGAACAATGAGCATTTTTCTTTAAACAAAGGGACAGACCCAGAAATGTAGCATAATGAAAGCTAACCACAACCTGCAATTCTTACACCACTGTCATGCAGTCAAGGTGTGTTCAAACTACAGTTTAGCAACGAAGCTTACAATTTTTTTTTTTAAATACTAGTAATACAACAGAAGTTGCCCAAATGTACATCAAGATCTTATTTTTAATTGATTTAGTATTAAACAAGGCACAGCCGATGACAGAATTGTGTCTTGGTGAACTACATGAAACAAGAAAGCATATTGGTCAACTATTAAGATGAGTATCAACCCTCAGTACCTACGCTGATTTATCAGATAAATACCTAGTAATACACCTCTACCCTCGATAGAACGCTGTCCTTGGGAGCCAAAAAATCTTACCATGTTATAGGTGAAACCGCGTTATATTGAACTTGCTTTGATCTGCCAGAGTGTGCAGCCCCCCCTCGGGAGCACTGCTTTACCGCGTTATATCGGGGTAGAGGTGTATCACCAATGTAAAATCCTGGGATACTAGAATGATAATTGACCTTAAGACTTAATGAAGGAATTTAGTGAACTGTGATGATATCTACAAATACAAATTAGAGACTCATTAAGGGCCAAATAATGGATGCAAAGAATCTTCAAGGCTTTTGTACAAATAAGGTTAATTTGAAAAATATAAAAGAGAGATAGGCACTTTAAGTAACCTGAATTGCATGCTAATTCAAGCCCAGAAGAAAAGGGACAGTATCTTATTAAAAGTGAATGAAATCTTTGTAAAACTGAAGTGTAAAAGTGACCAAATTAGGAATTTAGAGTACAGGTACTAAGTACCTCCATACCTGCTCATCATCCATACCAGTTCTTTACTCAGAACGAATTCCCAGCATCCATAAGTGAATTATTGAACCATTAAAGAGTGTCTCACAGTATACCACTCCGCTACCATTACCCTCCTTTGTACTATATAGTTTTTGGTTTTCTGTTATCCAGCATCTCATCCTTTTCCTATCGCAACCTTTGATTTTGTAACTCAGTTTTCCAAGAAGCTATCAATACTCACCAGTAACCCACAGATACCGTAGGTATTTATTAATATTTAAAATAAGCATAGATTTCAAGAACTTAAAAGTTTCTCTGCATCATTCTGCTAGCCATTCAGCATGATCACATTAACTTCTTCATATTAAACATTGAAGGAAAATTAATACAACTTAAAGATCTTGCATTACCATAAAATCTGAATTTGAATGGAATACAATTCAAGTTAATAGCAAATTTTAACTTGAAGAAATTAAATGCACAATTTTACACATTTCCAGAAGAAACAGCACAATCACGAGACCCAATGAGTTTGTCATGAGAAAGAAGTGTGAACCAGTTCAGTCTGTGGAAAACAAATTGGCAAGGGAACCTGAAATCAGAAAAATCACAGTAAGAATGTAATAGCAACAGCCTCCTAAAGGAGTAGGATTGATTTAACACATATTCCAGTCATGCAACACAACAAACATCTGAATTATAACCAACTTATTTAACAATTCTGTAGTGGTTAGGAGATTCCAACCTTTTTTCTTCCATATCTAAAAACACTAAACATCACTATGTTGCTGCTTCTCAGAACAGCTGCAATACTCAGATGTTATTGAACAGCAACAGCATATACAAACGATGTCTGCAAAGCAGATGTTTTATACTCCTTCTCCTGCCCTTTTGCTGAAATGCTCATCGCTCAGGTTTGTAAACGGACTCAAAGCCTCCAAACCCCATTTTTGTTTGTTCAGAACTATTTAGGTTGAAACTTCGTAAAAGGTGATTAAAAAAAAAAGCAGTTAAAGAAATTCCCTGCAGCTATTTTCAAAACAAACAAGGAAAAAGACTTACATACTGACAATTCAATATTAAAAATACACCTCTACTCCGATATAACGCGACCCGATATAACACGAATTCGGATATAACGTGGTAAAGCAGTGCTCGGGGGGGGGGGGGGGGGGACTGCGCACTCCGGTGGATCAAAGCAAGTTCGATATAACACAGTTTCACCTATAACACGGTGATTTTTTGGCTCCCAAAGACAGCGTTATATCGAGGTAGAGGTGTATAAGACTTCACAGGCAGTTTGTCCCTCAATGAGGAAGAGTTGCTGTGAATCTGAAAAACACTTAAGTTCCAAGTTAAACAATTAAATTAGTTCAATCAATGTGAAGTAACTGTTCCCATTGCATAACTGCCTACAGAGCTATAGAATTGCACAGAAAGTTATGCAAGTGTTAACATTTCCTAAATATGCCAGTGTGTCTACCAAATGGGTGAATTTAAAACCAACCAAGTTGCAGAGTTCCACAGTGCTGCAACTCAGGTCTTCCCTCCTCCTACTCTTTGTTTATGTTGCTGAAAGGATACAAAATAAGCTGCTAATACAACATTAAGGCTATGTCTACATCTACAGCTGTGCCACTATAGCATCCTAGTGTAGAAGCTTCCTAATGCAATAGAAGGGGTTTTTTTCCTGTTGATGTAATTAAACCATCTCTTCAAGATGCAGTAGCTAGGTCAACGGAAGAATTCTTCCATCAACTCAGCTGCATCTGCAATGGGATCTTGGTTGACCTAACTATAGCACTTAAGGCATGAAATTTTTCACAACCCTGAGCAACGTACCTAGGTCTAGCTAATTTTTAAGTGTACACCAGGCCAAAGACTGCAATTGCAGATATACACAAAGGAGGGTATGTAAACATTAAAAGTTCTAATTCTAGCGTTTACTTACTCACATCATCTATATTAAAAGGGACAACCAGAATTACACCCAATTTGGGTTTCGGAAAAAACTGTGTCCCCAAACCTCATAGTAAAAGCCACCATCTTCCTTTTTTAAAAAATGCCTATTAAATTATATCCCTTCCCACCTTCCATATCAAAACATTGTGGCGCCTGTTGAAATAGATGGACATTGTATAGTAATTTACACATGAGCTTGACATCATACACACAAGTTACAACAGGAATGCTTCTCTACCCACCTATGAGGAAACAAGTCATGGGGAAAAAAGGAGGTGCTTCTGTGCTGCTATGGATCTGGAAAGAAGTAGATTCTGCCAGGATCCCTCCACAAAAGGAATATGCAAAGAGGAGCTGGTAATCTTACCACACATCATGAATATAGCAGACGGTAGCCAGAGTTGTGCTTCTCTCATCAGATCCTAAACGAGGCAGCAGACAGGGATATGAAGAGGAGCCCTCCTGCTCAGGAGTCTCCATTATTTGAAAGTGGGACGAGGGGGAGAATGAGAAGCCTCTTGCAGTCTCCCTCTTGTACATATCTGGAAGAGAGGATCCTCTTGGAATTAAATGCTTGAAGCCCCAGCCTGGGTGCTTCTGATACGGTTGTGGCATGAGTGGCTTCTGATCGGGACAGGGGGAATCGGATGAAGGAGAAATCCAAATAGATTCTTGTTTGCTTTAGAGTAGCGATTAATGGCTGGGAGGAGGATAATTCAAATCCTGGAAATATGAACCCCTGGAGTTATTAATAAAATGTATTACTGTCCCAGTGTTTCAGTGGATTAGGGCCCCATTATGTTAGGCACTGGAGCATGTCACCAATATAAATCTGTTTCAGCGTTTACATAATCTGGACAAAAAACAAACTATCCTCAAGGGCTGAAATCTGACACAGATTTGACATTGTAGACAAAGTTCTCTCCTTATTCATGCTGTAAAAACTCATTTTTGGTTATCTATAAAAATGTATAGCCTGTATAGCAAGATAGGAATTTTAAAAGAAGCCAAAAACATTTACCTAAAATTCCTTATTACTCAGACAATTTTCCTTTTTTGAAATTTGATAATAATGTCAGACTAAAAGCAAATGTTGATATCAGGGAGCACATTATACTTCTATAAATCTGAGAAAATTGAAATAGTCAGCCACATGAACAGGTTCTCTTTATTGAAATCCTCACAAGGATTAAAAAGGACCAAATGGTGAGTTTTCATGCCAAACAGAAGTTCTCACCTGATTAACTGTAGTCTAATTCACATGAAGGAACAAACAAAATTCAAACACCCATGTTCTGCTATGAATGAAGTTAAATGAACCATTCTCCTTTGATCTTTTCCTTAATTTTACCAGAAAAATAGACCAAGGATCTTTCCATGGCAAAAGAATACACAGATGTTACTGAAAACAGGTGCCTCTCATTTCCTTAAAATGAAAATGGCAGCAAAATGAGTTGAAATGATGGAACTGCTTATATTGATTTTTCTTCTAAAATTTTTCTAACAACCATTCTCCCATGAACAATGTTAGGTATCTGAATGCCTCTTCAATATCAAGTATGCATTTAAAAGTGTTAATGCTTCAAAAAACAAAACACAAAAAAACCCTTCCCTCCCCACACACACCAGTTCTGCATTAGGTTTTTAAACTGTTAGCAACATCTGGAGAACCATTTAAACATCTTTCTTGCTGCAGAGATACTAATTACTTTGAAAGCCTAGCCTAGACAGGACCAAAATAAGGCAGCTAGCACTGCATTGGAATTTACAAGGCAGTATTTATTTAACTAAATTTCTGCTGGGAAATATCAACCAGCATCCATACATAGAGAAACATGGTACATTTATTTAACATTTGAAATAAATTCTCAATTATAAAAAAGTAACCTCATGAAGGGACTTTACAGATAAGACTTGGTGAAAGTGTCTCATCTTCATTATTTCAGTTATCTGCATTAGACCAAGCTCTCGCCTCAACTCAATTTTTTGTTTGGTGCCACAGACCTGGGCTTTGAGATGGATTCTTTTTCCAGTGAATTTTGGAAAAATTGCAGTCATGAATTCAGCATGACGTCAGTGCTACAGGATCAAGCAGGAAGAGATTAGCTCTAAAAGGAGCAAACTCATTTAAATGCAAAAATGTAGTAAGTTACCAAAGGATATGCGGAAACCTAAAGAGCTGAAATTTGCCTAAGTGATACTAGGTGAGAGTCTGTCCCAGTACAGAAGTCCCTCAAAGAAAAATAGTACCCATATTTTGTTAGGCCATCAGCCTGAGAATTCAAGTGACAAGATGCATTTCTCGTTAAAAAATGTTGAAATTACAGTCAAGCAGCACTCAAAAGCTAAAGAATGGCAGAATTATGGCTACCCATGCAAACTTAATGTGTCCCTCTTGTATGTATGTATGTATGTATGTAAGTAATGTTTTCATCTCTCTTAGTCTTTAGTTACATGATCACTTACTGTATTTTCTACCAGGCTCCTTTGCAGAGAATGGATAAATGCTCAGTGCACAGAATGGATAATGCACACTGACTGGGTAACTATTTCAATATTTCATTCTCATTTTGTGTGTGACCTTGTGCCTTACCTACTGCACACCATCCAAACCCTGCACTGACTACAGAATTAGTATTTTCTTCATGGGCTTTTCTATGGCACTCATCACTATTGCAGCTGAAAACTTATTTTAACAATACTCCCATGAGATAGGGGATGACAAATCCTACCTTTGTATAGATGAAATGATGCACAGAAGTTAAAGGCCAAAAATGTCAAGTGCTCACGAATTTTGTGTGCCCAATACCACTCAGGATCTGATTTTATAGAGTATTTAGTATTTTACAGCATTTTCTATATTCAAAGTATATTGATTTCAATTTTAGGTATGAATTCTCAGCACTTCTGCAAATCAGACCACGTCTCAATTTGGGCACCCCGAAAGTTAAAACACACAGTTAGTGGCCTCCTCGGAAAAGTTTTTGTCTTAAGTGACTTCCCTAGGATCACACAGGAACTCTATAGCAACTACCTCAGCCAGAAGATCATTCTGTCTCATCCTGCAATCACAAGTCATTTTCTTCACATCTTCTAACTTCTGGAACAAATGAGGCATAGCCTCCTTCATTACACACAACCTGCTTCATTCTGTGCACTGAATTAGGCCGGGTTCTTGTGGGAAAAAATAGCATATAGTGATCATATAATTAAAGACTAACAATGTATACATACACATGGAATCTGAATTAAGAGTACACAAACAAACTTGATTCTGGCATTTCCTAATATTCAAATGCTTGACTTGCAAACTTAACATTCTTTCACTGTAGCCCCCCTGTATTATCCTACATTGTTTTTAAAAGCAAAAGGAAAAACAGAAATCCCATGGTGTGGAAATATGTTGATGCCCACATGGGTCACCAGCAGGATTACACCCTTTAGTCTCACAGCATCAATATCTGCCACTTAAGCTAATAGACCAGCTGGTAGGAGTGGAAGGCTGTAGACTAGCCAGTAGAGAGAGATGAAACATTCTGCCACATTTCACAGCTATTTGCTATACAATAAAGGAATGCTGGGAGTCCAGGACTCAGGATTCCAAATCTAGGTCCTGAAGGGAATTGTGCTCATTGGTTATAGACCCTTCTGCCACAGTACCCTAGCATGTCACTCCATGCGACACACGTAGCTTGCCCCTTTCTGTCCACCCTCTTTGTTCCTGGCCACCCCCTCAGCATTTGAGTCAAACTGATTCCTTCTCTACACTGCCGGGTGCAATTACCTTTTGAATTTTCAGAATACTGGGACAAGCTAACATTTGTATTCGTAACACTTTACATCCCATGTTCCAACATATTGAATTAAATCTTCACTGAGGGACTGTAAAATGTTTTAAAATCAATGGATAAAGAACACTGTATATTCATTGTGTGTGTTGGGGAAGAGAAAAAAGTAGTGCATAAATAGTAAAATAGCCTATATTTAAAAAAGCTGTGCTTGTCCCTAAATGTCAGTACTCAGCTGACTAGAAGCTGTTGTAAATGCAAGAGAGATTCCAAACACAATGTAAACATGTTGGATAATAAGACACACCAAAGGCATTCAAATCTGCAGTATTGCTATTTTAAGCTTCAACATATCTGTCTTCTACACTGCTGTTCTAAAAAAGGAAACTCTCTCTGGAATTTGAACAGACTGTTCAGTATTTTATGCAGTTCATACAGCCGCTTGACATTTTTGATCATACAAATTCTTCCATCAGGTAAAATTCATGTTACTAAGAAACAGGTTATTGTAAAAAATAATTTTCAAACGGTAAATTAAAAATTTAGCATAGAAGTATTCAGATTAATACAGTATCTTAAACACTTTGTTAGATAGCTTTAGCCAGTAACAGGTACACATGGATGTGAACACAGACTTGATCCACTGATCAGTCTTTTTCCAAAAGTATTTTGAAGAGAGAGAATGCTTGAATACTGTGATAATAGGAGGAAAAAAGTTGAGAAACAGTATATGCTTGCTAAACAAGAATTATGTTTATTTAGCTAGTGAATCACCTAGAGGAGTAAATTTTCACTTCCATGATAGCAATCTGTCAGGCTTGCAAACACCCAGAAATAGGAATTAAAGGTTTTAAATGTAGTTATAAAGGTCATAAAAAGTCTGATTTAGACTGAGGTACATTTACTCAAAACTGAGATTCATTGAGTGGTAGCAAACAAACAGTTCCTCAGACAAATGCACTTTTTTCGGTATACATATTACAGAAAAAATAAAGAAGTGTGCATTAACCGGTGCTGTCCACCAAGCTGCATATTAATATTCTCTTACACCAAACAGTTTGAAACAAGGGAAATGTCATTCTAATATAATTTCATGTTACGTTTCATTTGGCTAAACTGCATCTTAAAGTTGCCTTGCCATATTAAAAGTTTACTACAATAATTTTCACATGAACATTTAGACTTGAGTTTTACTCCAGGACTAAATATGGCATGATTTTGCTTTTAATCTGTTGAATAGCTAAAAACTGACAATTAAAAAAAAAACTACAACAAAGAAAAAATAAGTTGAAGCAATGTGAATCTCACATCATTGAATCACTTCTAATGGTTAATTGTTAGTATTTAACAAATTCAAAGAGTTAATGAATCCTTGCATTCGTTCCGTCTCCTGTGCCTTAGCTAGGATGCATAAATACAAAAGACAGCAGATACTGGTAAAAGCTTCAGGACAGAAAGTGCTTGACGAAGTTACAGTTCTCAAGTGTGTTTGGTGAGAGAGTATAAGGGCAGATGCACTGATGAGAACCATTACAAGAAGAGTCAATTTCGTGTTAAAGTGTTCAAAGATGTCACCTTAAGCAGAAAAAAAGCTTTAATAATGTCTTCTTAGACATATTAGGCATTTCCAGAGTCTACATCATTAGTGTTGTAATTCTAGCAGGACATCTCCATATAGTTATTGTTTGTTTCTATTTCTCTCCTGCAAAAAAAAGAGGAAATAAAGTTAAAACAAGCATTTTCACATGAAATTCTGATATTCCCCCCTCATTAGAGCAGTAATAAGGTCACTTGTTAAGCATGTCAACTTCCTTAAAGAATGCAGCATGTTTTATAGGAAATGAAATCAATGTTCTGTATGTATTCAGGCAAAGTGGAATGCTTAGTTCAGGATAACTTTTTTAAAGTACAGTGGAAATTAAAAGGCAAATCTGTTTAAATGACAATGAGCTGTTGAAAGGAATACATCCCACTGTTACATTTAGGCACCATACTGGAGAAATATTTGCTTCCATTAAAAAGACATTCCACTGAATGAAATGAATAGTCAAAGGGGGAAGAAAAAAAAAAGGCACTATTCAGCATTCAAGCAAGAAAAAAAAAATTACCTTAAATTTGCTGCCTAAGTTGTCAGCAAAATGGACTATATGTTTAATCAGTAGAGTTTTAAGTTTCCTTGAAGCTTTTTATTCCCTACAGTTCTGGAATCTGGAAGTGCTATTGAGGTGATACTCAGTCACTAGACAGGTTTCAGAGTTGCAGCCGTGTTAGTCTGTATCCGCAAAAAGAATAGGAGTACTTGTGGCACCTTAGAGACTAACAAATTTATTTGAGCATAAGCTTTCGTGGGCGACAGCCCACTTCATCGGATCATAGAATGGAACACACAAAGATACTTATACATACAGAGAACATGAAAAGGTGGAAATTGATTGGCCTCTTACAGTTGGCATGGTTACTTTCACCTTTTCATGTTTTCTGTATGTATAAATATCTTTCTGTGTGTTCTATTCTATGCATCCGATGAAGTGGGCTGTCGCCCACGAAAGCTTATGCTCAAATAAATTTGTTAGTCTCTAAGGTGTCACAAGTACTCCTATTCTTTCAGTCACTAGAGGTTTCATCCAAAACTCAAAGTCAATGTGAGTCTATTAACTTCACTGTGCTTTGGATGAATTCTGTGCCACTACTGCTGTACATACTGTATCCCTCTATGAAAAAATAGCTGTCATAATTAAGGTCCACATGCACCAATAAATGTAGGTAAGAAGGAATCTTACCTACAGTAGAGAATGTTGGGACAAAACCTCTCCATTTTTTTTAGAAATTGTTTTTGCTATTAACAGGAAAAAAGTGATTGGGAGAGAAGTGATTGTGCATTTTAGTGTTTGCATATACACCTATGTTTTATAAGTGCATTACGTAGTATAGTAATTTAGTGATACATAGTGAAAGTATTTTCAATATTTTAAATACTCTTCTGGAAAAGTTCACATACAGAAAGGCTTCTGCTGTACTCACAGGTAATTTTCATTACAATTAAAAGGAGGAGACTAGATTAAATTTCTATTTTTTACTAACTTTACTACATGTTTCTGGCATTCAACAAAAAAGTAGCACGATGCTAGGATGAGATAAAGAACCTCTTAAATCTGAAGAATGATTGTCACGTAACATGCTGAAGCTACATAGTGTTCCTCACTGTTCATATTAGGCAGGAAAGAACAGATAATCCTGAATGAATGCTTCCAGGAAGACAGACTACAAGAAAGAAGGTACACAGTACCCATATATGACTGAAGCTGTTCTTATTAAAAGTTCAGAGTATGGCTGAGGCCATGGACTGTACAAAGAGGTTTGGTACTTTGATGCAACACCTTTGCAGCAGCTCACAATGGTGCACGGTTAGACCCTCACCACTCAAAATACAACCATTACACACATTGGGCCAGATTCTGTCCTCCAAATTGCTTGCTTCACACTGCTTTGACAGTGCAAATTATTTGTATTACAATAGTTCCTGGAGTCCTTAATCAGGATCCCACTGTGCTGGATGCTACACACACAAAACCTACCCCAAAGAGCTTACAATCTAAACAAACCTATTTTAAATATTAGTAAAGGTATTCTCTGTTTCCCATTTTTTCATCATTTTATTAGGACTGACTTTTTATAGCAAAAAGAGTACATTGCATTAAAGCAGGGGTCGGCAACCTAAGGCACACGTGCCAAACACGGCACATGAGCCGATTTTGAGTGGCACGCAGCTCCCTGCCCCAGCCCCGGCCCCCAGCCCCCCCCCGCCCCCCCCCCCCCCCCACCGCTCTCCCCTGCGGGGGCAGGAGGCAGAAGCTTGGTCCTGTGGCAGCCAAGCTTCCCCCCTCCCCCGCTTCTTCCTCCAGCGTGGTGCTTTCCTGCCCCTCCTCCTCTCCTTCCCTGCGCCAATCAGCTGATGGCCCTAGCGGGGGAGAGGGAGAAGAGCGGCAGCGTGCACACAGCTCCGTAGAGGACGCAGAGAGGGGTAGGGACGGAGCCTGGGGGAAGGGGATGGAACAGGGGATATCCCTTCCAGCCCCCTGCCATGAGCCGCTCAGGGCAGGGGGCTGGGAGCACCCCCACGAGCCGAGCACCCCAGCCTTCTGCCCTGCATCCCCCAGCCCTCTGCCCTGAACCCCCCCAACACACACCCAGCCTTCTACCCTGCACCCCCACAGCCCCATCCCTCTGCCCTGAACCCCCCATACCCCCAGCCTTCTGCCCTGCACACCCCAACACACACTCAACCTTCTGCCCTGCACCCCTACAGCCCCATCCCTCTGCCCTGATCTCTGAACCCCCTACACACACCCCAGCCCTCTGCCCTGAACCCCCTCCCCCAGCCCTCTGCCCTGACACCTGAAACACCCCCCCTCCCCCAGGTCTGGGGTCCCGGCCGCAGGCCCTGATCAGCCCGCTGCCAGCCTAGGTGAACAGAACCCCAGGCTGGCAGTGAGCTGAGCAGGCTGGTAGTGTAAGATCAGCATTTTAATTTAATTTTAAATGACGCTTCTTAAACATTTTGAAAACCTTGTTTACTTTACATACAATAGTTTAGTTATATAATATAGACTTATAGAAAGAGACCTTCTAAAAACGTTAAAATGTATTACTGGCACGCGAAACCTTAAATTAGAGTGAATAAATGAAAACTCAGCACACCACTTCTGAAAGGTTGCCGACCCCTGCATTAAAGCCTGCAAAGGAAAGGATTTTTTAAAATGGGAAATTAATGAACCATTCATGTGTATTAGTATGTCATTGGTGCATTTCTCAGGTGGCTGAAGACATCTGACCTTTGGCCTCATTTCTCACTGTGTAAAGGCATGCAAAAATCGCCTACAATGCACATTTTGTCACAGCTTATTGCTGTATCATTAGCAGACCTCCACTTAAAGATGCAATATTGTAATGTGAAGCAGTGAAAAAACGCACAAGACCAAATGATTTCGATTTAGGAAAGGTTTTGTTTTTAAACAATATTGCACTTCTGAAATACTTATATTATACTTGCAAATGTTGTGAAGAAAGAGTTAACTCATGGAAGTAACCTCAAGTATATATTTGCTACAAAGTGTCTCCCATTCCCACCCAACCCCCAACATATTAACCATAGAGACCATCCTGATGCTTATTTGCATTTTTATACATAGCTTCTGGATTAACACACTTAAATCAAACACTGTCCTTCACATCCAAGAACATTTTTCTAATGAATAACCTAAAAAGTAATGCCACCCCGAAGATATCTGCTGATTTAAGAGACTGAAGTTAGGCATCTTCCAAATTTGTAAGTCAAGAAAATCAGGTCTTGGCTACACTTGCAGCTGTACAGCGCTGTAAGTTAAACCTGTCTTCGTACAGCTGAGTAGGGAAAAGCGCTGCAGTCTGTCCACACTGACAGCTGACAGCGCAGTGGTGTGGCCACACTTGCAACATTTGCAGCTGTGTTGGGAGCGGTGTATTATGGGCAGCTATCCCAGCATTCATGTGGCTGCAACGTGCTTTTCAAAACGGGGGGGGGGGGGGTTGTGACAGGGAGTGTGGGGGGAGAGAGAGTGCTTTTTGGAGCATGTCAGCTCTCTATTTTGCAAGTTCCGAACTCCCGGCCCCCTGCTCATTCATTTACTCACTCAAAGCAAGCTGCAAACTGTTTGCTTTTCTCTGTGGTAAGAGCTTTGAAACCGGCACTTCCGCATTCCTGCAGCCAGTCACAACAATGGAGAGGATTGGCCACTTGACAAGGTGATTAGCACAGCGCTGCAAGCGTTTACACTCACACCCGTGAGTCATAGCCACTCCGCTGCAGTGGTTATTCCTCTCGGAGATGTGGAGTACGTGCAGCGGTGTACCCAGGGAGATACAGCGCTGTAAGTGCCCTGCCAGTGTGGACGGAGAGTGAGTTACAGTATTGGGGGAGGCTTTACAGCGCTGTAACTTGCAAGTGTAGCCAAGGCCTTTGTCTTCAATTCCATCAGAAAACAAAAAAGGATGTAGTCTTTAAAAACCCTCCTTCTCCAAGCCTGCATATTTTCAATTCCTGAATGTATGCACACATGTGCGCACACAGAGAGAAACAAACTTTACATTTTTGCTGCTTCGTAGATTTAAAATTTTGAAATCTCATAAAGTGCATAGAAGAATGTGTCTCAAATGCGTTTGAAATGGTCTTTAGTACGACAAGATGAAAGAACAGAAATAAATTTGTATACTATATTGCTTCCCTCTTCCCCCCCCCCCCAAAAAAAACTACTTAAAGTAAAAGTCCATTTAATATCAATTCTCTTCTCCCATCTTGACGACCAGGCAGGTGGGGGAATCAAAATGGATATCCAGCTCCCAGGAGAGTGTTTTGGCTCTCAAAAAGTGAAGACAGACCAAACAATAGAACACCTTTATCCCAGGCTTTCCATGATTAGAACAGAGCATCTTCACTTGGGAACATTTTCCAGTGTACAGTCTGAACTCTCCCCGAGTTCCCATTCATCTACATTCTTTTCTTTACTTCTCAAATTCTGACTATCAGAATCTTTCCCAAATCTCTCCTTGACACTCCAGGATTGAAAGCTCCTTCAATCAATTCAGTCTGCCAAGGGACGACAATGCAGTCTGTTTCACTTTAGAATTTATTGCAAGCAGTGATGTTACTGGGCTTTGGGTGGAGTT